TTGTTTTGCACTTTCTGGTTTTGGTATCTGGATAAGACTAGCTTCTTAAAATGAAGGTAAGTGTTCCCTCCTCTTCTATTTTCCAGAAAAGCTTGTGTAGAATTAGTGTTAATTCTGCTTTAAACACTTGGCAGAATTTTCAGGTGAAACTATCTGGGTCTGAAGCCTTCTTTGGGAGCTTTTTAAATTATGAATTAAATTTCCTTATTAGGTATAAAGCTATTCAAATTACCCACTTCATTTTGGGTGAATTATGGTAATTGTGTTTTTTGAGGAAGTGGTCCACTTTAAGCTGTAAAATTTATGTGTGAAGAGTTGCTTGTAGTACTCCTTTGTTACCTTTGATGCGTACAGGCTCTGTAGCCATAGGCCCTATTTCATTCAGATAGTGGTAATTTATATCTTCTTTCTTTGTCTATTGCCAGTCTTGCTATGAATTGTCAGTTTTGCTGATCTTTTCAAGGGATCAGCTATTTGTTTCACTGATCTTTTTCTACTGTTTTCCTGCTTTCAATTTCATTGATTTTTGCTTTTATCTTTATTATTTCCTTTCTTCTGCTTGCTTTGGGTTTATTTTGCTCATTTTTTTCTACGTTTGACATGGGAGCTTAGATGAGTGATTTGAGGTTTTTTTACTCTAATGTATGCATTTAGTTCTGTAAATTTCCATTTCTGTATTGCTTTACCTGTGACTCACAAATTTTGATGTTGTATTTTCATTTCATTCAGTTCAATGTTTTGTTTTGTTTTTTATTTTTCTTCTTCCTCTTTCACCCATGGATTATCTGAAAGAGTGCTGTTTGGTCTCCAAGTATTTAGAAATTTTCCTTATGTTACTGATTCCAAGTTTGATTACACTATGGCCAGAGAACATACTCTGAATGATTTCAGTATTTTAAATTTGTTGAGGTTTAGCTGATGGCCCAAAATATAGCCTATCTTGGTATATGATCATTAAGAGCTTGAACAGAATGTGTACTCTTCCGTTTTGGGGTGGAGTCTTCTATAAACGTCCCTTAGATCTTGCTGGTTGATGGTGTTGTTGAGTTCTTCTACATCCTTGCTGATTTCCTATCTAGTTGTTCTATCAATTATTGAGAGAAGGGTGTTGGAGTCTCCAACGCTAATTGATTTTTCTATTTCTACTTTCAGGTCTATTGGGGGCTCTCATTGTCAGCTGACAGGATGAAAGTGCCAGCACTCTATTTGCCCTTCTCTGATTCCATCCTGGCTGAAGTGTTGCAGCACCTCATTACAGCCTCCTCTCTCCCACCCCAGCTTAACTGACAGATAAAATTATATATAATACATTTAAAATGTACAGCACAATGGTTTGATAAACATATACATTATGAAAGGATTTCCACCATCAAGTTAATTAACCATCCATCACCCCATATAGTTACCTTCTGGGAGTTTTTTGGTGAGAATGCTTAAGATCTGCTCTCTAAGCAAATATTGAGTATTCAATACAGTATTATCAACTACAGTCACCATGCTGTATGTTAGATCCATAATACTCTTGTAATTGAAAGTCTGTACTCTTTCACACCAATCTCCTCCCACTTCCCCTACCCCCACCGTTCTACTCTCTGTTTCTGAGTTTAACTTCTTTTTTTTTTTTTTTGGCTTAAGATTCCACACGTAAGTGATACCATACATCTGTCTTTATCTGACTTATTGCACTCAGCAAAATGCCCTCCAGGTTCATCCATGTTATGCATTACAGCTTCTTAAGGAGGAAGTCTAAGTTCCCCACTGGGCCTTCGCTGATGCGGGTGTGGGTGGGGCCACTGTTTTTTCTGTGGTGTCCAGCTAGAGCAGAACAGTAATTGTCTAAAACTTTCCTGTCTTGTTAGGGCGCCCCCTTTCTAGTCATTTAGCTACAAAGAGCAGGCTTTTGTTGGGGTTTTTTGGTTTGTTTTGTCTGCCCTTAGCATTTCTCGGTTGTTGGCTTTTTTAGCTCTAAGTCTGGGATACATGAGGCAAGAGAAAACCGAGGGAACTCACCACTGTTTTATTCCTTGAGTCCTAAGCCTAAGCGGCCTGCTTTCTTCTTTCCACCTTTCAGGGTCTTCTTATATTTGTTTTATACAAAGTTCCCAGTGCTTTTTTGGTACTTAATGGGAGAAATAGGTAAAAGTACATCTACTGCAGCTTCTCGGAAGTGGAAGTCCATCTATTATTTTTAAAATAAAAACTAGAACATTACATCAAGGTGCTTGTGCCTTCCTGGGGTCATAGCTACGTTAAAAGAGGTATCTTTAACACAAACTCTAAAACTGCAGCTATATTTTATAGGGAGGGACAAACATGGTGTGACACCTTTCTAGCTTTGCAAAATGAGAAACTGGTGACAAAAATTAGTCCAACATTGATACTGCCCTCTTACCTTCTTTTTGCACTTCTAAAACACTGGTATTTAATTCACAAAACTTTAACAAAGCATCCCTTTCCTCTCTGACCTCTCTACACATCAGAAAAACAGCCCTACTCAGAGTTCCAAGGTTAGAAACATAACTCAGGTATTGTATCATTCCATTGAATTTTGAAACATACACACAATGCATTAACAGCACTTAATAAAATAAGGAATACTTGAGAGCTATACTATGGTTTATTTCAAAAGAATATTTTTCAGCACTGCAATAATACTGTCTTCATAAAATACAAGATCTCGGGGCTTTGTAGACATCAGCTTCCAATAATATTCTAATAATAAGTACAAATTTACCTAGGAATTACTGGAAGTTGTAAAGGTATTAGCTCAGTTTACTTACATTTCTTTTAGATGGATGGGTGGCTAACACTAATCTCATTTTATAGAATCTTATAATAGATTAAGTCTATAGACAATCCAAGATTCACATATAGCATGCTATACAGAGAACAGGATTTATCCACAGACAGGGCTCTACCATTTACTAGCTGCATATTCTTGTCTGAATCACTTAAAACTCTTTGCTCATTTTCAGTGAGAGAAGACAAGACAAGGAGCTTGGACCAGGCAATTGCTAAGGATTTCCGATCCTGACATTCTATGACTTAAAACTCTGAAGTTTGATCATCAAAATTCCAAAATTTTTATAACAGAGGGAGAACTTAATTTAACTCATTCTTTTCAACAAGGAGTCACTGAATGTCTGTTCTGTGTAAGGCGTTAGGCTGGTTTTTTCGACTGGACCCTACTACAGAGTGACCAAAGACTACGTGGCCAGTCTCAACCAACCCCACCTACTAGTTGGAAGAGAACTTGGATTTATTTAGAATATTAGTTCTCAAACTTCAGCCCACGTCGTAACACTAGGAATCCTTATAGACTGCTTAAAAGAGATTGCTGGGCCCCACCTCCAGGGTTTCTGATTCAGTGGAGCTGGGGTGGAGCCTGAGAATCCTTGTGGCTGACAAGTTCCTAGATGATGCTGAGGCTGCTGGCTCAGGGAGCCCACCTGGAGAACCTGATTCAGGTAAGGTCCTATATATGAGGAGCCAATCCTCCAAAGGTGTCATTCCTGCCTTCTCTGCACAATTTTCCATCTTCATCTTCCTTGATACAATACCCACTCCCTCTCCTTGGAGAAGCAGTTACATTCCTATTTTTTGTGGTTCTGGTGAAATTACTGATCTGAATGCTCGTCTGTCCCAGGGACAGCAGTGTAACTTGAACTGGGCTAATCATAATACTGTATCTCCCTAATCACATCACTGATTCTAGGGGTAAGTGTATGACCAAAGACAAGCCAACTGCTCCATTTTCCCCTAGAATTTTCCAAATTAAAGACAGGAGAGTGCATTCTTTCCTTTGTAAAACAAACTAAAAGGATATGACCTGACAACTGTCAGCAATCATATGCAATAGGAGCGAATAAGGACAACAAACAAAATATAAGCTGAAGTAAAAGACAAGACAGAGAGAAGGTAGAGAGAAGGTAATCATAAATTAAGTCCCTGATTTATTTGTATGAGGTAGGCTGTACACCCGCTTTTCCCAGTTACCAAAGACAATGCTTTCTTTCTTTCTTTGGCTTAAATTACAGTTAATTTAAGTTAGTTGAGTTTAAATTTCTTACGACAGAAGAGTGCTGACTAGTAGAAGGTAATCCAAAGATAAGACATGTTCCCTATAAACAGATAGTACAGTATTTGAAAGCATAAGTTTTAGAGTGGGTTTAATTCAGCCAGTTGTGTGACCTTAGGCAAATCTCTCAGTTTCATATATAAAATAAAAATAACATCACCTACCTCAGAGTCCTCATAAGCATCAAATGAGGTAACTCATGCAGCGTACCAACAAAGAACATTCACTCAATGAATGATACGTGTTAACATTACACCACTTACTGAACACTGATCTCCCAGGTACTGTACTAGTGCTCTACATACTCTTTTACTAATTTGTGGCCAAAATGAATATAAGGGATGTTCAAGGCACAAAAACACAGAGGTAGGTTAGACTGAGACAAAAGCTTACTCCTTTGAATAAGCCTGAGTATGTAAAAGCAGGCATTCTATATCCCTATAGGTCTTTTTGGTACCACTATAGAGTTCCTATGGCAACCAATTTTTACCTCTATGGGTACTTGAAAATACCTGCAACAAACAGAAAATCAATTTTTTAAGAACTATATCACTTACAGTAGCATAAAAAGCATCAAATAACTAGGAATGAATCTAACTGAAAATGTAAAAGACCTATAAAGACCCAAACTGTAAAACGTCTATGAGAGGAAGTAAAGACGACCTAAATAAACGGAGGGCTGGTCCATGTACATGTATTAGAAGACTAGGCATTGAGAGTCAATTCTCCCTCCAATTGTCTCTGAATCACAAATGCAACAACATTTTTTGAAAACCTATAAGCTGTTATACTGAAACCAGAGTCAGCATCAGTTCACTTTAACTAAAGGATAAACTAAATCTAAATATGTTTGAGATTAGTAACCTACAGAGAGTACTTTAAACAACAAAGACAGTGAAGTTAAACAAAGATAAAAACCCACCTGGACTATATCCAAAACCATGCCAGCTGAAACTGTTCCAAAACCAGCTAGCAAAAATGGCACAAGTATTTGCAGTGCCATGACACCACTGGATTCCTTCGGTAACTTCTGGTTTGCTTCCACAATGACATCTTCATCACCATCACTAGATACATTGTCATCTTGTAACATGGCCGTAGTTTCCGAAGTCTCCCTTCCATCACAGTAATTGTAGTTGGCATAGTCGTCATACTTCTGGCTACAGCTTGATGGTGTGTGCCCATTATTGCCATGAAAAGACTGCTCGGAGAAACTGTGATATTCCATGTGTTGTTCAGATCTATTACTAAAAGTCTGTGCTGCAGCGGATAACCCATCTTGCCAAATGCTGTTTGCTTTTTTGTGCCTATCTTCCTGGTTTTTCTGGTAAATTACTGGAACCATACTCAACAGCAAGTTTAAAAACTTATCAGACTGAATTGTACTTAAACTTGAAGTCCAGTCTACAAAACCTCCTCCATTACTTGGACCATTACTTGTTTTATTAGTAATAGACCTTCCTTTAGTATTAGTCATATTGTCATTGCAAAAGACCCTGCACTCCTTAGATCTCAAGCTTCATGAACTATAGCAGATGAATCAGAACCACACCAACACTGGTTTAGATTAAGATGTTGACTTCATTGTGTAAAAATGTTTCCACTAATAAAAGATGTTCAGAAGTTCCACAGAGGGAATGGATCTGGAAAAATAAAATAATTTTTAAAAGTCAGATTAACTGTCTTGATACTTCATAGTTAAAGGTATAAAATATACAAGTTCTTTAACCAACCCCAAGGTACTGACGTTATACTCTGTGGGCTTCACACATAACTGCTTTGTGCCGTACAACTACTTTGTTCTTAGAAATATACTAGACAGTTTTTGTGTTCGCTAAATCTTAAGTGTTTATCTTTGCATATTTTATATAATTAATACCCATGTTAAGTCTTCAAATATCAAATACCTGTAAGTTCTACAATAGACAAATTTATTAAATAAATGGCTTCCGTTACTTATGTTGAGGTCTCAGAATCAAATTGCTACAGCCCTTAACATATGTCAGTACAACAAAAGGGAAGGTACAGGACATTATATTTTAAACGTTAAATAATAATCCATGTTACTTTATTTACAACTTAATATAATATACATTTTATTATTAAAATACGAAGAAACAGTGACAATGTTCATCATGAAATTACTTTATAAATATCCTGAATACTGTTCAGGGTATTTATTATACATATAAAATTAGGCTGATGTCATAGTTCTGATATAGAAAAAAGTCATTATAGTTGATTTAGGAATATAATCCCTCTGTTAGCTAGGAAATAACCAAAATGGAAAGGGATTACAAATATTCACTTAATCCTCTACTTTGCAAGCCAACCAAAAGAAAGCTTGTAATGCCCTTATCACTTAATGTCCTTCTCAAAGTCAGCTCTGACCCTCAATCCCAGAGTAGGCTCTTGATTGGCTGGCCAGTGATGAGATTCTCCCCAAAGGTCTTGAACTAAGAGATACAGACAGATATTGTGACTAGTTTGAGAGTGGTGGGCACTGAACTTGCGAGGTCATTCATACATCACCTGACCAGGGAGAGAGTCTATTTGGCCAGCTGCTACCACAGATCTGGAGGCTTTCAAGGCTATCAGAGTAGGTCTAAAGGCTTCAGGAACACCCAGCCCTGTGTTACACTTCCAAGAGCACCCAAGATCAAGAAATTGGCCCTGATTTGATAAAGGATAGATAGCTCCACTGTCTAACTGGACTGCCCACCCACCTAGACTAAGAATTGCTCCTACTATACTTCTGCTTTTAATGAAAACTGTCATATTCTTTAATATCTGTTTTCGATTTCTTAGAATATCGATCTCCTCTCCTTGGATAGGAAGATCAATAACAAAGAATGGCTGAGGGAAAAAGAGAAAGGGCTATGTTGGGGACAAGTGGATGCTAAGGCCTGGTTCATCTATTTAATCACTCACTCACTTTCCTTTCTTCCCTCTTGTAATTATGGAGGAGTCTGGGAATTCCTGCTGGGGAACACTCCTAAAATACAGATTTTAGGACTCCAGACCCACTGACTCAGAATATCTATGTCTGAGGCACATAAATCTTTTTTTTCAGCTCTCCAAGTGATTATAGGGCAGACATCCTGTGGACTTGCAACGAGAATCCAGACATTAAGCACTAGTTGCCATTTTTGCCATTTGCAGCTGATACAAAGTCAGTGTTTAAAGAAAATCAAATGAATGGAAACAAGGTCCAGAGTGAAGCAAAGAAGAAACTAAGCAGTCCAGAAAGAGACAGAAGGCCAGAATAGCTGCCTGAGAACCTTCCATGTAACAAGAGGTTCAGCTTTATGTTGGAAGTTGTGAGTTTCCAGGCAGCCTTACATGAGTCAGTGGTTTCTTTCCTTCAACCCATCCACCTCTTTTTAAATAGTGAGCATGCCCCAAAGAGATCTTTAATCAAACAAAATACAAAGCAAATCTCAAGGGGATTGAGCTTTAAGACAAGTCTACTCCTCTGAAGGGCCAGTGATGGATACAGACAGTTTCTTCTTCCTCTTGAAGCAGAACTACAAGGATGATCAAAATGAAAATGCAGAGAAATGTAGATAAACAAGAAAGATGACAGTATCTGTATCACCACTTAGCCACCATTCAGCTCAAAATGCATGCTCAGGAAACTTGACCCAT